CTCTCTCTCTTGCTTTCTGTCTCTCTCTCTCTTTCTCTCTCTCTCTCTCTCTCTCTCTCTCTCTCTCTCTCTTTCTCTCGGAAAGCCCTATGTCATCCTCCCACCCCCAACCCCCTTAAAAATACATTTTTGAAGTCACCCCCTTCTTTACGTCCTGTTTTGTGAGAGTATAATATTACCATGCATCGATCTTGTGGTCAAATGTTCATGATTTACAGTCTCGGGAGGGATTAAAGTCGCTTGGGTACGGGGAAAAAAGACGTTAACTTCTTGCAATAGATCGAAGGTTGTTTAGTAGCCTGAATAACTGTTAGTCTAAGATATTGACACCCCAAAACGAAAATGCGTATACATTTGCATGCTAATATTATCGAAGACGTGGAGACAGACAAGCATTAACAGCACACTGTAGTTTTCTCGAATAAAAATTTTAAGTGGCTGACCTTTTCAGAAATGCAACAGGGAAGAAAATGTAGTAAAATACATAAATGAATTTTTCGGAGTGTGGAAAAAAAAACCCAGCCTTATTTCCTCATAAACATACACAAACACACACACGCACGCATACACACACAAACACACACACAAACACACACACAAACACACACACAAACACACACACATACATACACACACAGACACGTGCAAACACATACTAATTCCACCCGTGCGCTAACATACACAAACGGAGGACGTTTACTGATAACAAACGAACACACACACTCAGTTATACCCCCATTAACCATACACCCCCAAACCCTCCCCAACAAAACAACAACTAAAAAAAAGCAAAACCAAAGCCACCACCAACAAACAAACAAAACACAACACAACAAAACATAACAAACAAAAACTGATTAGAAAGTTCGACTGGGGATATTTCAAAGACTTCACTCACCTCCCCGTCAAAAAGCTCACCACACAATGATGAACATTGGTTATGAATCCCTTCCCGTAGTCTTGTGCTGCACGTCTTGTGCTGGGTGGAAGGGGGGTGGGGTGGGGTGGGGG